AAAAAAAAAGCTAACACACTTAAAAATCAAACTGTAGATCATTTACTAATACGGTTTTTAAGCTTGCTCTCCAGTCCTCCTCCTGCCATGTCCAAAAGTTGGGCAGAAGTATCAAAATTTGTTTGAAAGAAACATTCTCTAAATTTCCGTTCTCATTTTTAGCAGAGAATAAAGCATGGATTTTTGTGCTATAAAAGAAACAGTCGACTTTTATGGAATGATGTTAGGAACTGTGACCTTTTTAGATATTTGCAGTTTACTTATAAAAGCTATGTAGTACTTCATAATTAGGGTATAGATTAAATGATACTTGCTTGATTTTGCTACAGATTAAATTAAGCAAAAGGTTATAGAGTTCTTGTCTAGATGAATTGGATGTTTGAACTGGGTTTGCAATGGGTCATGGAGAAGAGACAGGTATGACTGGTCTCATGGAGGTTTCTTTAAAATATTTACATTTAACAGAGAAATGATTTGAAAGTTTTGAGAACATGGCATGGTTATAGAGGAATGAGCAGGGTCTAGTTCAGAGAGATCTATTAGGTATGAATCCTTTCATGGACATTTAGGCTAGTTATTTAACTGATATGACCTTCTATTTAAATATCTGTGAGGATTGGTTATAATGAATGTGAAGTACAAAGTTCAGGGCCTAGCCCAAAGAACTTACTTAATTACAAGAGATAATAAGGTAGCCTGGTATAGTGGAAAGAGCTTAGACTTTGGAAACTGACTTAAGTTCTAGTCCTGGCTCACTTGTTCTCTAGCTGTCAGCAAGTCACTTACCTACTTGTCTCTGCCTCGCAGGGTTGCCATAGGATTTGGAAGTGGTTGGTGTAAGAGGACCAGCCACATAATAGATATTCAATAAATAGTTGCTGTTCTAATTTCTAAGGTTATCTTTAAATATGTTATCATAGTTTTAAATCTATACAGTAATCTTTCAAGTCTCGTTGCAAATTGAAGGTTCCAAGTGACGTTCTTTATTTTAACAGCTGCTTGGTCTAGTGTGGATAGGGGAATGAATACCTCTGAACAGAATTCTGCTTCTTTTGCATCTCTCACACTTAACTCTGCTGTTTCTGGTATGTGAAAACAGTCTTTCATTTAGTTAACAAAAAAATTTTGTTTGTTAATTTTAGTGCTTGTTATTTGAAAAACTAATCAGCAACAAATATTGTTAGCAACGTAAGTAATAGATGTATAAAGTGGTAGAGGCCTTTAAAAAGGGGGAAGAAAAGAAGACCTAAATCCTTATGTGCAAGTGGCTTTGTTCCTTTCAGAGAAAAATCTGTGGCCTGAGATCCCTGACAGTGCTTTGACACACGGATAAATACACATGGAAGGTCTTTCCTTCATGGGTCATAGTGTTCTATTACTGTTATTTAGACTCCTGCCATACTTCTAGTTGCAATTTGGCATTTTATTTCTATCCACCCTACCTCATCATGAGTTTGTAGCTAAGCCTATCAGATTTTGTGGACCTCCACTTAAAAACTCTTTGAGTATCTGTTCATTTAGAAAATACACAGTTGCTGATAAATTTCTTTCAGTTCAGCATTACTGAAATTCATATGCCTCTTCTTAATCATCTAGAAGCTGGCTTAGCACCTGTGGCTCAGCAGCTAGGGCGCCAGCGACATACACCAGAGCTGGCAGGTTTGAATCCAGCCCGGGCCTGCCAGACAACAATGACAAGTGCAACCAAAAATAGCTAGGTATTGTGGTGGGCGCCTGTAGTCCCAGCTACTTGGGAGGCTAATGCAAGAGAATCGCTTAAGCCTAAGAGTTTGAGGTTGCTGTGAGCTGTGACAACACGGCACTCTACTCAGGGCAACAGCTTGAGACTCTGTCTCAAAAGAAAAAAAAATCTAGAAGCTATATATATTTAACAAATAGTACATACATGTGGGAGACATTGTTTAGTGTACGGTGCTTGGTTCACTTGGAATTCATGGGCTCAGCAAACGTACTTTATAAACGGTCAGATAGTAAATATTTTAGTCTGTGTGGACCATACTGTCTCTGTTTACAGCTGCTTAACTATACCATTGTAACAAGAAAGCAGCCACAGAATATATAAGCAAATGGCTGTATCTTGTACCACAATATTATTCCTTTGATTTTTTTTTTGACCATTTGAAAATGGTCCTTTAAATCTATTAAATTAAAGAAAAAAAATTTAAAGTAACAATTATGATTGGCTCATGGGTTATGCACAAACTGGATGGCTGGATTTGGATCTACAGGTTGTAGTTGGCAAACTCTAATCTCATAGACCACATTTCCAGAGGTACAAGTTCATTGCCTCCCTCTTTTGGTAACTTTGTAAAACACAGATGCTATTCTCCTCATATATTCAGAGAAAGCAGCATTTGCCACTAAAGGAATGGCACCACTATTCATGGTAGTGCTTCACGGCAACTAATGTACTAATTTTATAGGGTTACTGTTATTTGTTAAAATCTACATTAAAAATATATGAATATTTTGTATATACATCAGGCAGTTATCATATGTAGAAGTTTATAAATTGGTAACATCTCTGATGAGAGGAAGTGATTGTGTTTAAGTTTTATAGTAGTATCTTAACCACTTTGGATTCAGTGGCTCTGAATCCAAAGCGAATATTAGAGTCATCTAATGATTCTGATACACATGTAAAGTCTGTTTTAGAAGTTGTCTCACACTATATGTATAGTGTGTGTGTGTGTGTATATATATATATATACACTGGATGGAGAACCACTGTTTTACACTTACATTCTAAAATGAATTTATGTTTATAAAGTAAGGCTTCTTGACGTGGCATCTATGAACTTCTACGCCTCCAAGGCTATATGCAAAATTTTATATTAAGTTCTGGAAGTAGACCTCCACGATATTCATCAGATTCCTCAGGACTGTGTGAACCTACTCTTAACCTACATGCTCCCCCCCCCCAAAAAAACCCAAAACAGATAAAACTTAGAAGATAATATTCTGTTTTCTTTAAATACACCTGAACTTAGTCTCTAAACCTTCAACAACTCTTTTTTTCCTTTGGCTTCTCTCTTCCTCATCTCTCTACATAACTACCTTTAATTTTCCTTAGCCAGAAGGTTCTAGCTAATTCAGACCTTTTCTAATTCTCTTTTTCAGTGTTCTGAGGATTTAGGCATACCCTGAAACATCCGGGACTAAAATGATCAATGGCAGAGATACCTTTTGTGTTATATTTTTGGCCATTAAGAAGAAAAGAACAATTTTTTGACTTCCTGAAATTTGTAGATAACTAGCTTGAAGTGTACAAATGGCAAAATCTAATGGATTGGTACTAGAGGAAAAATACATTTCTGATCAGTGAATTACATCAAGTGATTATCATGCTTAATCTAAAATTACCCTCAACTCTACTTTTCCTTTTAACTCAAATCTTCTTCTAATGTCTGGATTTTTCCTTGTAGGAGAAATAAAAAAATAATAAAGTCTCCGTGTACAAAATATAAAACTATTATTATACAACATCGTTAGGAAATTCCATTTTTTAATTTTATTGCATTCGTTTTTCATTTAAGGGTCTACTGCTGAGCCCGTTTCTCAGTCTACCACTTCTGATTATCAGTGGGATGTTAGCCGTAATCAACCCTATATCGATGATGAATGGTCTGGGTTAAGTATGTCCTTTTAAAAATTATCCGTTTTTTATTTTTCTTTTTCAGAATTTCTTTCTAGCACCCTGAATTCATGCTTTATGTTTTAATTTTAATCCTAATTTCTCACTTTTAAAGGTCATAGTAATATAATTTAACACCAAATGTACTACTTGAAGCTTGATTATTGAATATTACAGAATTAAAACAATTTTATAGTGATTGAGGTGATATTTAAACATGAAATTTTCCTATAGTTGCTCTGTAGTATTTCTAGTTTTTAAATTTTTGTTTTAAATGGATGTTTCTTTTCCTAGTTTTAGTGTAATAGAGTAAATAGAATGTACAGAATGACTTTGAATTTGTGAAGTATGCACATGTTTGTGCTGGTAGTGAACAACTCTCTTAGCCCAGTTTCCAACAGAAGCATAGGAGTGTTAAAGGAAGTCCTTGGGGGGAAGGAGAGAATCTGATCTTTATGTTCAGAAAGCTCATACTGTCTTCATTTTTTTAAAGAAGTATCTTAGGGGGAGGTTTCCATATCCTCAGATATCAGAATTTATTCCTTTCTCTGAACTTTTATATCACATCCTTTTCTAATTTACTTAGGATTCATATGTTACCCTATGGGGCTTTCCACCTTTTTCTTTTTTTTTGACTAGGGCCAGGTTTGAACCCGCCACCTCTGGTATATGGGGCCGGTGCCCTACTCCTTTGAGCCCCAGGCACAGCCCCGCCCCTTTTTTTTTAAAGAATATGTTTTATTTCTTTTGAATAGAATTGAAACCCTGTATAAACAGAAACTATCGTTTATTCCTTTATACACTCAGTACCTAGGGCAATATTTTATACATAGGTGTTTGATAGTAATAATGTAATAAAAGTCAACACTAGACTGACTATATGTCAAGCACCGGTCTAATCTTTTGCATCTTATTAACTCAGTTAATACTTAGAACCATTCTGTGAAGTAATAGGGTTTTTTTCCCCCCCACACACTTTCCAGATGAAGAAACTGACAAAGAAAAATTGGCTAACTTTCTCTAGGCCACATAGCTAGCTAAATGGAAGACAGTGGTATTCAAACCTTGCTAGTCTGGCTCCAGAATTCATGCTCTTAACTACTACATGGTACAGACTTGGTGATATAGCAGTCATGAAGGTAAGCTGGTAACACAGTAGTTAAAGTTCAGGTCTTACAGATTAAGGGAGATGAGTTTAGAAATGTAGGTCAGAGAGGGCGGCCATATTTGGAAATGCCTTGATTTGCTGGCTAAAGATTAGGGAGATTTTGAGTACTACCTTAGAAGACAGACATGAGTTTTAAGTCCTGACTCCAGAATATAGTGCCTCATATGGCTTGGGCATTCATTGTCACTTAATCTGGAAGCTGCAAAATGGAGCAAATAACCTTTTATATCTACTTCCATAGGTGATTGTGAGATTTTAATGAGGTAATGGATGAACCTAAAAACTCTGTGTAAATTGCAGTTATTCCCTCAGTATCCCCAAGGATTGATTCCTGGACCTCTGTGGATACAAAAATTCACAGACTTGGCTCGGCGACTGTGGCTCAGGTGGCTAGGGCGCCAGCCACATACACCTAAGGTGGTGGGTTCGAATCCAGCTTGGGCCCACCAAATAACAATGATGGCTGCAACCAAAAAATGGCCAGGCGTTGTGGATGGGGCCTGTGGTCCCAGCTACTTGGGAGGCGGAGGCAGGAGACTCGCTTGAGCCCAGGAGTTGGAGGTTGCTGTGAGCTGTGATGCCATGGCACTCTACCCAAGGGGATAGCTTGAGGCTCTGTCTAAAAAAAAAAAAAAAAAATTCACAGACTTTTTCACATCCCTTGTTAATAAAATGGGATAGTATCTCCATATAATCTACACATATTTTCTCATATACTTTAAATCATCTTTAGATTACTTATAATATTTAATACAATGTAAATGCTCAGTAGATAGTATACTGTATTTTTAGGGATTAATGATGTGGAAAAAAGTCTACATGTTCAGTAACAGATGCAACCATCCTTTTTTTTTCTCCAAATATTTTCCATTTGAGATTGGGTGAGTCTATGTGTGCTGAACCTACAGATAAGGAGGGCCAAGTATTATAAAGTATCATCAAAATCCAATCTGTTACCAGAATGTGAAAGCACTATTTCAGGGGGAAAAGAAGTCTGTGCTTTATGCATGGTTGTATAAAAAATAAGAGCAATTGCAGGAAAATAACAAGAAGGTATCTTGGGCTATGCCATGGGTGGAGGAAAATTAGGCAGAGGAAAATTGACCAAACAAAGCTTCAGGCTTTCCTGCTTAGACTATCTCTTTTTTTTTTTTTTTTTTTGAGACAGAGTCTCACTATGTCGTCCTCCGCAGAGTGCTGTGGCATCACAGTTCACAGCAACCTCAAACTCTTAGGCTTAAGAGCCCTGCCTCAGCCTCCTGAGTAGCTGGGACTATAGGCATATGCCACAACGCCCAGTTTTTTTTTGTTGTTGTTGTAGTTGTTGTTTGGCAGGCCCAGGCCAGGTTTGAATCCTCCATCCCTGGTGTATGTGGCTGGCGCCCTAGCCACTGAGCTACAGGCACCCTAGCCAACTAGCTCTATTTTTTAACTATAGTAGGATACATTGTATATGAAAAATACTAGGCCAGGCACAATGGCTCACGCCTATAATCCTAGCAGTCTGGAAGGCCGAGGTCAGTGGATTGCCTGAGCTCTCAGGTTTGAGACCAGTCTGAGCAGCAGCGAGACCCCAGCTCTAAAAATAGCCAGGCATTGTGGTAGGTGCCTATAGTCCCAGCTACTTGGGAGGGCTGAGACAGGAGAATCACTTGAGCCCAAGACTTTGAGATTGCTGTGAGCTGTGACACCACAGCACTCTACCAAGGGCGACAAATTAAGATTCTATCTCAAAAAAAAAAAAAAAAGAAAAATATGATTGGCTACTAAAATAAAGGATTTTTAAAAACATACAGGAACAGGCTTGGCGCCTGTGGCTCAAGTGGCTAAGGCGCCAGCCACATACACCCAAGGTGGCGGGTTCAAATCCAACCCAGCCCGCCAAACAACAATGACGGCTGCAACCAGAAAATAGCCAGGCATTGTGGCGGGCTCCTGTGGTCCCAGCTACTTGGGAGGCTAAGGCAGGAGAGTCACTTGAGCCCAGGAGTTGGAGGTTGCTGTGAGCTGTGAAGCCACAGTACTCTACCTAGGGGGATAGCTTGAGGCTCCTGTCTCAAAAAAAAAAAAAACATACAGGAACAAGATTCTG